GACACCGTGTTGTGTTCTCACAGTGCCTCGCTCCCCCTGGCCGTTTAAATGGGTAGGTCTGCGTATTTAATGCTGGGGGTAACCCTGCGATGGATTAGCATCCAACCCAGGGGAGAGTAGAAAAACTCCTAGTCGCTTCATGCTACAGCAACCGGGATAAGCTCCGGCAAGATTTGACACTTTGGCCGACGCAGACTTCACTCCTTTCCAGTTTTGGCGTATTTCTTTTAGCCGCCTTACCCTATTGTATAATTTCTCCGTCAAATGACTTGTTTTCATCTGCAAGGACTGCAAGCCAGTTACAAGCTTTCTTGTTTATAAACGCTCTATGAACTCTGTAAACCTACCTGACAGTTTGAGTGGCCAGAGCTCGCAGATAGAGTGCAAGTAAGGCCTGGTTTTGTTCAATAGGATACAGAAATTCCTCCAAGGGAATCGGCAACTTATGTGGGAAAAGTAACAAAAAGACATCTTAGAAAGGCTTGCCATCACGGACCACTGGCTTCTACTACACCAAAAAAGGGCAAAAAAAAAAAAACATACAAGAGAGCAAACAGACGAACAGACGAACAGAAAGACAGACAGACAGACAGACTGACTGACTAACTGACAGACAGACACACACCCAGACGGGCTGACTGACAAACTGGCAGACAGACAAACACCCAGACAGAGAAACAAACAGACAGACAGACTAACTGACAGACTGACTAACAGACACACACACTCAGGCAGAGACAGACTAACTGACTGACGGACAGACACACAGACAGACACAGAGACAGCTTTGAATCTGATTTGTATGCAATTACACAAGCATTTTGTCGAGTTTACCTGTTCTAAAGGAATTGACAACGCCCTCAAGACTCCTATGTGTTCATCCCAAACAGCTCTGCGAAATTTAACGTCATGTCTCTGCGCTAAAGGTAGAATTACGAAGCAACCAAACAACGCATCTCCAAACGAGACCGCGGAGTACTGGGACAGAAAAGAAGCGTACCTGGAAAACAATGGACCTCAAAGGTATTGGCCTGAAACTAGCTTGCAATGGAGGCTCGTTCGGGAGAATATCATTAAAAAGAGATTAATGTCATTTGCATTTAAAGACTCCTCACATTAGCCTCAGCTGCAAGCTAGTTCCAGTCCAAGACCGAGAATACGAATATGGTCTATTAAACAATTATATTATGAGCTCGAGATTTCTATCGCGCGATAGTTGATGACAGATTCGTTCCCACTCGCTTTTGACGTGTTTTAGGGGGAGAGAAGATTGGACACTAGGGTGGATTAAGATGCGCGGGGTGTCATGAGAAGGGTCGCCTCTTCCCATAACTCCCCGAACGCAATACTCGATCCAGACCACTTTCTCTTTGGAACAATCTAATGTGACCCGTACATAGCAACTGGCTACGAGTCTGATTTAACGACAGGAGAATTCCTTTCAAGGTAAAACTCCATATTAACATACTTACAGATCGTAGAAAGACGTGAGTCCAGGTATTGGAGAATTAAAATCGAGCTGTTCAAGTTTCGATGGGCTTGTGTAAATCCGTAAAAGCGCTGATAAATAATCATGAACGGAGCTGTTAAGGAATAGATCGTTTCCTACAAATACAAACGAAATGAAATTGTGAAATAGAATAATAACTAAATAAGTAATGAGTGTTTAGCACTGCTGTATTAATTGGGAACACTAAAATAAGCCAAAAAGTATTACGAATTGAAAAGAGACTTATTGAAAATTTTAACTGTTGGGACAATGGCAAATCGGCTATTCAAAAGACATGGAGGAATTGAATTTAGGGACCACCAAACACAATTCCATCTAGTAGCAGGGAGGAGGATTTGAACCCGAGACCTCTGGATTACAAGTCCAACACCCTAACCACTTGGCCACGCCGCCACCTATTGACATACAATTGTAACTTTGTGGATATGAAGAATTGTTGTTCACTTTTGTTTGCTATGACAGCACGTGCTCGCTGGAACAGCCACAAGGAATGCACGTGGAATGCACGTGACTCACGTGACAGGGACGCAATAAACCTAACCTGTCAAGAAGACACACATAAGCCTGGCAATTCGTGATGCCATGGAAACGTGACGTAAGCAGATAGGTCGCCATTCCTCGAGAAGCAGCACCAGTTGAAGATTGGCGGTTACTATGGAAACAGCAGGGTCGGTGACGGTATCAATCTCGTTGCCTCTCATTCCACTTGGAAAGGAAAAAGAAGACTAAAATAAACACCAAGTACAAAAATCGAGGGCGATAGGGTCCAATTTCTCCTAGCCTGTGAACAGGGCGAAGAAAAAACAGAGGGCGGAGCAAGCCGAAAGTGGTCTGGGGAAGAAAAACGCTTAGCTCGCTTCACTCGCCTAATTTCTTTT